ATAAGTCTTTGTGTGGGATTTAAAGCCCATCCTTTAGCTCAGTAAAAGCCCAATTGCTTCTCTCAATCCAGAAAGCCATAGTTTTGTGTTGAGGCCCATGATTCCGTACGCCCAAACGAAACATAAGGAGAAGTGAGTTTTATGGGGGCAAAAAACAGGAGAAAAAAAAAAAGAAAGAAAAAAAAAAGACTATCGAAAACAAAGTATACAAAAGAAGATAAAAGATTATGTCGGAGAAAAAATAATTTTTTATTATAAATGTCTGAATTTCAGACTTCAAATATTTTCTGAACATATATTTATCGTTGGTATAATAATTGAGTGTGACACAAGTGAGAAATGTGTGTTCTGTTTAGATCAAAATTTTAAATAGGGTTCGCGAATGCAAAGAAAGAAAGAAAAGAAAAGTAAAATAAGCTAATAGCAACTTGTTTTCTTAGACTTGATCTGAGCACAATTGGGAACACTGTTATGAAACTTCTTATATTTTTGTCACAATCTCTTTTTTTTTTTTTTTTTTGGGGGTCAAATCTCTTTTACAATTTTAGATTAAAATGCGAGCTAAATTATAAGACGCTCGAGTTTAGTACACATACACCGCAATTAAGAAAAATTATGAGTGCTTCCATATGGTGAAAGAAAAATGTTGTAATATAAAAATTATGAATATATTAAAATAATGAAGTGAATCTCAATCGTGCTGTAAAACTAAATGACAAACTTACATTCTTTTGAAGTGGTTATAAACTGTTATTCATTTTTATCTGAAAATGAAAGCTCGTGTCTTTAATTACGGTGAAACATTTATGATCACCATTAAAGAATAACCTAAATATTTGATTTCGTAATTAATTTGATATACTCGAATTTCTTATGTATATACCGCAATTAAAAATAATTATGAGTGCTTCCATTTAGAGAAAGAAAAATGTTATAAAATAAAAATTTATGAATATAACATTAATAATGGAGTGAATCTCAGTCATGTTGTAAAACTAAATGACAAACTTATATACTTTTGAAGCAGTTATAAACCGTTATTTATTTTTATCTGAAAATGAAATGGCGTGTCTTTAATTATGGTCAAACATTTAAATTCACTGTTATAGAATAACGTAAATATTTGACTTCGTAATTAATTTGATAAACTCGAATTTACTATGTATATACCGTAATTGAGAAAAAATATGAGTGCTTCCATTTAGTGAAGGAAAAATGTTGTGATATAAAAATTTATGAATGTAACATTAATACTGGAGTGAATCTCAATTATGCAGTAAAATTAAATGACAAACTTACCCTCTTTTGAAGCGGTTACAAACCGTTATTCATTTTTATCTGAAAATGAAATCAAGTGTTTTTAATTACTGTGAAACATTTATGATCACTTTTATTAAAGAATAACGTAAATATTTGATTTCATAATTAATTTGATAAACTCGAATTTACTATGTATATACCGCAATTAAGAAAAATTATGAGTGCTTCCATTTAGTGAAAGAAAAAGAGTAATGCTAGGCATCCCAAATAATCTACCTATCAAATCTCTCATATGAGTGTAGGACCCACACACATGTGGGTTTGTGTGGGTCTCACATCCATGTGAGAGATTTGGTAAAATATTTAATTGATTATTTGAGGTTCATAGCATTTTCCAAAGAAAAATGTTGTCATATAAAAATTTATGAAAACTCAATTGTGCTGTAAAACTAAATGACAAACTTACATTCTTTTGAAGCAGTTGTAAACCGTTATTTATTTCTATTTGAAAATAAAATTATGTGTCTTTAATTATGGTGAAACATTTATGATCACCGCTGAAGAATAACGTAAACATTTGATTTCTTAATTAATTTGATAAACTCAAGTTCACTATGTGCATACCGCAATTAAGAAAAATTATGAGTGCTTCCATTTAGTGAAAGAAAAATGTTGTAATATAAAAATTTATGAATATAATATTAATAATGGATTGAAACTAGTCAAGCTGCAAAATTAAATGACAAACTTATATTCTTTTGAAACGGTTGTAAACCGTTATTTATTTTTATTTGAAAATGAAATTACGTATTTTTAATTATAGTGAAACATTTATGACCATCATTGAAGAATATCGTAAATATTTGAATTCGTAATTAATTTGACTATAAGGTGAGGAGAAAAAATTATTACATTAGCAACAATATTTGGCATTTTATCAGTCACAACAAATTGATTATCTTCATCTTGTTTTTAATTCCCTTATACAAAGAGAACAAAAATGATTCGCCTGCATGTTGAAGTTTTTGGGTCTTGTTAAGGGGTATATTCTGATTTTAAGATCATTTTTATCACAATAAGATAGGTTAAATATATTACTTAAAATATTGTCTTTTTTATTTTAAGTTACCCACCTTGAAAAGATATCGTTTTATAATTTAGATAGTTGATTAACGCAATCAAATTATTATAAATATATATATATATATATATATAAAATAAATATTGTAATTCGTTGTTAAGAAATGCTATTGGATTAAGAAAAACACAGACAGTACATTTACGCTGTGTTTGGTTGGGAGATTTTACGAGAAATTTGGAAAGGGAAATAGAAAAGGTATGTAAAACTATGTGAAATGTAGGTATATTTTATTCACATTTCACCTACCTTTTCCATTTTCCTTTCCAAATCCCTTCTCAAATCCCCCAACCAAACACAGCATTAAAGACACAATCTATTGCATTTTTTTATCATCTACTCAAAATGATATTGAGACCTTCACCATGATCATGTTTCATTGTAAGTGATAAAAATATGATTAAAAATGATTTATTTGTCACAACTCAAACGGAAAATATATAAATATATATAAGAGTTTTATTATCCAATAATTTTATAGATACAAATTAAACTATACAACTAGTAATAAAAATAAAAATAAAATAGAAAGACAATAAAAAATATCTCAAAAATTTAATCAGAAAGTAGATGTGTGACCTAGATATAATTATTGTATATTCAAACCTACACACATAATTAATCTCAACCCTTCATTGTTCTGTTGTTTTGATTATTTTTTTTCTAAATCCTTTAACATTGCTAAAAACGTAAAAGAGAATACTAAAGTCATGTTTGTTTGATTCTTTAGGAAGAAAAATTGGACTAATAATTCGTAGGACCCACTTAAAGAGTGTTTGATTGGGTACACGAGTGAGGAAAGTAACTATTCCCTCGGACTAGTAATCCCCATGTGATAAGACTATGAAATGGTTGGGATTAGAAATTGAGTGAGGAGATTAATGAATTTTTAAATGATTTTTAAGCAAAATTTATATTTTATAAAACAAAAAAATAATTATAATATTAAAAAAATACTAAAAATAAAAAAATTATTAATTTTATAAATTAATATTATTTATAGTATTACTAATCCGGTGGTGTATAAACAAACATTTTTTATTCTATATTTCTAACCTAATACTACCACACTAATAATTTTATTACTTAATCTCACCATACTTTTAATCCTCTTCACATTATGGAGCCAAACAAACCTGGCCTAAGTGCACAGAGAGTATTGTGCACATAATACATAATTCTCTCACATAAGAGTGGAGCCCACATGGACCCCACATGTGTAAGCCCCAGTCTCATGTATGTGAGAGAGTTGTGCATTTTATGCACAATACCCTCTCTGTGCACCAGCATAGCTCAAATTAAAATTAAAACAATCTGAATAAAACAGTTTTATAGTGAGGTCTCACCACATTTCATAAACGTTTTTAATTGGTATTTTTTTTTTCAATGAATTTTTTTAATATTTTAATATATATTTTTTTAACTTTTTAGATCTGTTTAGTCTACGTACACTTAAAAAAAATTATGTGGTTAAATTTATAATTAGATTTAGGGGTAATTTAAAAAAAAAAAAAATCTCCGGGTGTGACTATTGTAGCAAAATAAATCGTGAGTTTTTAATTTTATTAATTTAAATCAAATTTTTTTTATATATTTTCAATCTAAACTACCTTCCTATTTTTGCTAGGTAAAAACAGGAAAAAAAAATTAGTTATTAAACTAAATGAAAAATATATTTTAGATATTTTATGTATACTTACATTGAATTTAGGAGAATTAATTTTTACAAATAAATAATAAATGTTATAAATTAAAATCATAATTTTTTTTCACTAATGTGTAATAATTTTTGAAATTCTACCTGAATGGTAATTTTTCCTCAAATTTAATAGCTAAAATATTATTATTGTGTTAATTTTATTCAAATAGATGATTTAGATTGAAAATAAATTTAAAAAAAATTAAATTTAAATAGGAAAAATTAAAAATTATTTCTTTTGTAGTCAAACTTTGAGATTTATTTTTGTAATTACCTTTAGATTTAGCCACCGTTTGAGAATAATTTTTTAGCTCGACTTTTTAACTTTTTAACTATTGGTACCTAACTAAAAAAAGTTTAAAATGCATTGTTAAATTTTTTATAATTTTTTTAAAGAAAAAATAAAATAATTTTATTTTCAATGTGACATTTTATCTTCTTAATTTTTTAATTTATTTTATATTAGTCCTAATTCTCTTGCTATAGGAGTCTTATATGGATAAGTCTTTGAATAATATTATATGTATCAATTAGTACATTAATTAATATATTAATTTATAATTTGATATAATTTAATAAATTTTTAATATTTATAATGTAATTAATAAATAAAATTAATGATAATATTATAACTAATATTAATATATTAATTGGTATAGGTAACACCATGGTAAATCTTATGCATTTTTAGTAATTTGATTTATTTTTCCAAATCTCTCCAACTGACCCCACCAAAATAATAAATACTATTTATCGGGAGAAATCAAACCAGCGTTGACCCAATTAAAAGCCAAATCCCATTCATGGTAAACCCGCCACGTGTCACCATCAAACAGGCCCACAACTAGCACTAGCCTCACCAGCCGTTGATTTCCTTCTCTCTCCTCTCTATATAAAGAGCAGTTTGAGGGTCCCTCCTCCTCACAACAACAAACAAAAAGAAACCATAAGTGGGCTCCTCTTCTAGGGTTTGGTTCGTCCCATTCAATCCCTCCTCTCTCTTTTTACTTATTATTATTATTTTTTTAATTTTAATTATCTTTTCTTTTATATTCATTTCAGTCTCTGTAATTTTTTTCTGGTTTGGATTAATTTTTTCTGGGTTATGTTTTTATTAGATTGGAAAACATGGCGTCGATTGAGAAACAAAGCATTGATGAAGCGACGAAGATTGTATCGTCTGATCCATTGTTGGGGGACTCATCGGAATTTACTATCACGGAGGTTACGCCGCCGATTGTTGTTCCGTCGTTGAAGGATGAGCCCACTGATTCGGAGCTAGAAGGATCAATCACAGTTGGTGTCGTCCCGGAATCAAATCAATCGAACCAGATGATTGAGAAATCAAAGGTGGGGAAGATCAAGAGGTCCGCCACCAAGGACCGCCACACCAAGGTGGAGGGTCGTGGCCGGAGAATCCGAATGCCGGCGGCTTGCGCCGCGAGAATCTTCCAATTGACTCGAGAGCTCGGCCACAAGTCCGACGGCGAGACCGTTAAATGGCTTCTCGAGCGAGCCGAGCCAGCCATCTTTGAAGCCACCGGAACCGGCACCGTCCCAGCCATCGCCGTCTCCGTCAACGGCAGTCTGAAGATTCCCACCACGCCGCCGACCACCACGGAAGCCCAAGCCGCCAAAAAGAAGCGCAAGAGGGCTTGCACTAGCGAGTTCATCGACGTGGACGACTCGGCTCCGGCTCCGGCTCCGGCTCCGTCGAATTTCGCTCCGGTCACGACCATGACGCCGCAACGACTGTTGCCGGTGTGGGCAGTAGCCGGCGGTGGAGCTCCGCCGAATGCTTTTTTCATGATTCCGCCACCCGGAACCGCCATTGCTGGACCTTCGAATCAGCCTCAGATATGGTCCATTCCGGCTGGAGCAATGCCTATGTTCAATGTCTCGGCCAGACCCGTTTCGAATTATGTATCCGCAATGCAACCCGGACTTAGTTTTGGTGTCGCCGTCGGCGGCGGTGGTGAAGTTCAAGCTCCGGTGGGGTCGGTGTCGAACAGTGCGAGTGGAGAGAAGTCTGGGAAGGTGTCAACAATGGCTCCAAGTTCAAGTTCAACCACCACCGCCACCACCACTACTACTACACAGATGCTGAGGGATTTTTCTCTGGAGATTTATGATAAGAAAGAGCTTCAATTCATGGTTAGCTCTGGAGGTGACCAAGCTGCTTGAAAGCATTGATGATATGGACAAAGATGTTAGGGTTTTACATTTTTTTTTTTTTGGTGTGTGTGTGTGTGTTTGTTTTTAAATAGTACAGAGTTTTAGACTTAGAACACAGGTTTTATTTTTGGTAGTTTATTTGTAGTTTAGTTATTATTATGGTTTTTTTGGGTAATTTGGGTTTAGAGTGAATTGGTTTTAGATGAGAGTTTCAATGGTGTTTGGCAACTCATGACATGCGTTTGTTTCTACTGTGCCATTGACGCTCTAATCTGGACTATTCTGGTAATGAAAGTGATGTGTTTATGAGAATTTATTTTTAGAACGATGAATTGTGTTCATAATGATGAGGTTTATTCTGATATAATTAACTTATAATCTGGATTATTTGCCATTTTATGATGCTATTGAAATGGTTTGTGCTCAAATCAAAAGTTTTGGATGCCAAGTTCTTAATGGGTCAAGCTAATAACAGTCTGTAGAGATAAATGTTTGGTGAAAAACTTCCAAACACTTTATTTATGATATTTTTTAGACATTTATATATAGCGTGAAGAAAAACTTATCACATTTTGTAACAATGTAAGATAAACTTTGCCACTAGATTTGATCGCTTAAAAATCCAATCGGTAGCTAGTTAGATGATTCTCTGATACCTAGGTCAGTGATAGAAATAAGCACAAAAAAAAAAAATATTGAGTTTGAGTGTGAGTTGTTGTGTACCGTTTATGTGCATTATGATCTGCTTATATTGACTTTAATTGGGACTTTTTTTTTTTTTTTTTATCGTTAGGATAGTTGAGAGATCTTTGTCACTTCTCTTTATTATTCCGTTTTTTAAAAGATTGTGTCTCACATTTATGATTTTGAAAAGTGGATAAGTCTACGTGTAGTGAAACGTACGCTCACTTACTTTGATTGTTCGAATAGCTAATTCGAGCTCTTGGCTAGCTCAATCTTCTAGCTCGGCCTTTTTGACCCAACTCGACCTTAGCACGTGGCTTGCAACTTGAATTTACCTTTCACATATGGAAAAATTATTTATGATTTTTAAAAGTAGATAAGTCCACGTTTAGTGAAACGTACACTCACTTGCTTTGATTGTTCGAATTGTTAATACGAGCCCTTGGCTAGCTCAGTGTCCAAACTTACTTGTGATCCATTCGTTCTTCCCAAGTAGCTTAGCTCAAGTAGTTTTGCTTTCTTCTAGCTCGGCTTTTTTGACCCAAGTCGATCTTAACACGGTGCTTGCAATTCGAATTTTACCTTTCACATATAGAAAAATGATGAACAAACCACTTTTTAGACCTATTGATATGTAAACAAGATAATTGATTAATAATTAGAGAATAAATGAGATAATTCATTTTGATAGTAGAAATAGAATTAATTTAAATATTTTAATAGAGCGTCACATTATTGAGTTTAAAAAATAAATCTCGTTTTTTTTTATTTATTTATCTGGATAGCAGTACTCATTATTTTATTAGTCATTCTTGTCAACTTATTAATGTGTGAGACCATAAATATTTTATATTTAAGAGATTAGTAATGATAAAACTCCAAATATGAAAATGAAAAATTATGTTTAGGCTTGGTTTGGGGACCACCTAAATAAGCAAATTATTTACTATAAGTTACCATATTATTTTTTATATATCTTTTCGTAAAAAATTAATAAATCAAAAAATAAATAAATCCTAAACATTCATTGGTGTTTGGGATGAGTTAAATTGACTAAATTAATGAATACAGAAAAAAAAAAGTTTAAATAGTTCACAAGTTATTATACATATCAATCAATCACTTTTTGTTTTATAGACATCTATTCCACTACAATTTTTTTTTATAAATTATCCTAAACATAATTTTTCTTATCAACTAAAATAATCAAAAAAATTAAAAAAATCAAATAAAGTAGCCAACATCTCAAATGATGGCTCAATTTACATTTGAGAATTGAAATTTATTTGACATTTGTTAAATAAGTATATTTTTTAAAAAAAAATTAAAAAATATATTTATTTAAATGTACATCTGAGAAAAGTCATTAAAAATGAATAGTGAGTGAAATTCCCTTTCGAAGAACTCTCATAATTTTCAAACTAATCCACGTTACTCATGATATATGAGATTCACTCATATTTGTGTGTCACATCATGAGTCTTTATCATCGTTGTTAAAAAATTAAAAATAACGTCAGTTAACAAGTGCACGTGAATTTAGGTGTTGCACGTGCAAAGGTAGTGGGGCCATTTCATTGATGGTGGTGGTGGGGCTTGATTTTGGGTATGTGTGGTGGTCCACATTTAGGAGGGACGGTGGGTCAACAAGAAAAACGTAAGGCAATGAGTTATTGGTGGTGAGATGATAGTAATAGGAATTAGTAAATACTACTAGTAGTAATGATAATGATCCGTGTGTGAAGTCATGAGTTGGACCAAGCGGACCATCTCTCGCTCGGGTCCCCAGGATTTTATTGTGGGGCCTCCATTCGGCCGCGTGGTGGGCCCCTCACTACTGCCCCCCGACTCCCTCCTCTATTCTTTTGGGGGCTGCTGCTGGTTTTGTGGGGACGGGGGGACCGGCTTGGATCTTCTGACACGCGTCCTCCTGCTTAGCTGTATCGGTGGGGACCGCTTTTTATCTTTTGACACGTGGACACTGGGTCCAATGACAGTGCAACCAAATCTGCATGCTTATCACGTTGTGAGTCACTTTTTATGTGATGGTATGTGAATAATAAATTATTATATTAACTTCTTATTATATTTTTAGTAAAATTATTAATATGTGTAAAATTATTTATTATATTATTTAGGAATAAATTATGTTTTTTGAAATTTTTAAAAAATATAAATTATTTTTTGTAAGAGCAATACTAGGTATCATGAAAAAACTTTCATGAAAATGATCATGAAAGATTTATGACCCTTGGATTACACTTAAAATAAAACACCACACACTAGTCAAGGTAATCCAAGGGTCATAATTCTTTCATGATCATTTTCATGAAAAAATTTTCATGATCCCTAACTTTTCTCTTTTTGTAATTTTAAAAATTATATGATCCCTAACTTTTCTTTTTTTATGATTTTAAAAATTATAAATACATTCTTATCTAAAAAAAATTATTTAATAGAATTAATCAAAAAAATAAAATTTTCAACTATTATCTTATACAACAAATAAATTACTTAAATTGTTAATTAAAATATATTTATGAATTATTAAAAATTATTAATTAACTTGATAATTTATTAATAACATAATTCATTTATTATGCGATTAGAAACTTTAAGTGTAACGCCCTCAAAAAAAACAACATAAACCCATCAGATAAAACATGCTTTTACATACGAACCAACCACATTCTTTTATTCATTAGAGTTATATATACATATGGATTACATGTTAACATCAAAACAAAATGCCCTACGGGCTTACACCTTTCCAAGTTAACACTTGGTTACAACAAAAGGGTACTAACTCGTTTGTTGCCATTAAAGGGTGTAAGTGTAAATGTGTAAATGCAAAAATAGAAGGGTGTAGGTGCCTTGCATACCATATGCAAGGCACACCTAAGAAAAGTCCATTAAATTATATAAGTAAGTCTTGTACTTTCATCATTTTGTAATTATTTTGAATTGATATCATTTTTTTTTTGTAATTGTCTTAAAAAATTATGAGGTTTGTTAAGTTTTATAATATTATTTTTATTTTTGTTATATTTTATTCATTTTGTCAAACGACTTACAAGTCCAAGTTACTATTCTTTTCCCCCTTTTCAACAGATAGGCATATAGGCACTACCCACATGCTCAACAGATATGTATAACAACAGTATCCACATTCTCAGATAAGCAAATAGGCTATGTCCACATTCTACAACAGATATGTAAAACAACAATATCCACAGATAAGCATATAAGCTGTATCCACATTCTACAACAGTTATGTATAACAACAAAATCCACAGATAAGCATATAAGTTTGACATGTCTAGCATGTATTCTCTTATTTGTTACATGGGTCTTCATTATTTTGCAAAATGAAATTTTATTTTTTAATTATTCGATTATAAATTCTACAAAAAATCTATTCTATTTCAAATTGTTTGTTTATTTCAGTGTTGGCTGAAGTCTTAAGTCTCGTTTGGCTAGTGACTTTTTTAACTAAGAAGTCAAAAAGTTACTAAAAAAATCAAATATCCAACAACCTATATTAAAAAGTCAAAATTTTCTTTTTCTCTTTATTTTTTGCATATATTTTCATAAAAAATTAAAAAGTCATCCTAAACATACTAGTTTTTTTACATCATATTTTAACTAAAAAATCAAAAAATTATTAAAAAAATCTATTCCCAAACAAGGCCTAGGCAATTGAAGCAATAGCTTTAGGCCTCATTTGCAAAAACACTTCAAAATTTTTATATATAATCATAAGTCATAATAAAATTTAATTGTTTTTCATAAGGCCCACTTTGATAAAGGCCTCTACAAAGCTAACACAACAAAAAGAAAAGAAATATATATGTATATGCTTAAAATAAAAAAGGAAAAAAAATATATATATATATATACTCTCAGTGGCGTAGTCAGGAATTTAATGGAGAGGGGGTACAAATTAATGATAACATCAGTGTATTTAGTTTGAGTTTTTTGGATTAAATTTTTAAAAAATTGAGTTTTTTGATTTTCGTATTTTTTTTTTGTTTTTAGTTAATATTTTTAAAATTGTAAACATTTTTTTTTTACTTTTTTAGATGCACTTTACTTGGATGTATTTAAAAAGTAAAAAAATTTTGAAAAAATATTTTAAAAAATTAATAAATACATAAAAAAACAAATAATGTACAGAATTTTCATTTTTTTTTTTGTATTTTTTGGTATTTAATGAATTTTTAAAAGGTTTTTTTCACAATTTTTTACTTTTTAGATATATAGATATATTTATGTTAAGTATGTCTAAAAATAAAAATAAAAATTGCTTAAAATATTTAAAAAATTCAATAAAAAAATGAAAAATAAAAAAGTAAAATTTTCTGAAAAATAATTTTGGAAAACTGTAACCAAGCAATTTTTTTTTTTATTTATAATAAACAACAATGAGATATTACTAAACTTAAATATTAAGAGTTCATTTGGATAAATGTGAATTTTAAATTAAAGAATTTGAGATTAAATTTTATATAAATATTGGGGAGTAACTATTTTTAGGTAGATTGAAAAATTAAAAAAAGAAGATAAGTTGAGATAGAAATAATATATTTTAGTAGAGAAATTCTATAAAACACACCATAAAAAAAACAACAATGATTCATCCCCCTTTTCCTCCCACCCCTTTGACCCCCTCTCTCTCTCATTGGTTACATTTTCTTTTTCTTTTTCTTTTTTTTTCCTGCTCCTCCAATTACCATCCGTCACGTGGCAAAGGGGGTGAGGGGTTGACCCCCAAAAGGGGGTCCCAAGCATTATTCTAAAAAAAAGTATCTATCATATATTGCAATTATGATCTTCGTGGTCTTTAGTTATGACACATTATAGTGTTAGATATAATTTAGTTATAACTTCTTGTGGTTGTTATTTTGGTTATAACATTGAGTTTTTTGATTTTCGTGTTTTTTTTTGTTTTTGGTAAATATTTTTAAAATTTTAAATATTTTTTTTTAAATTTTTTTAGATGAACTTTACTTAAATGTATTTAAAAAGTAAAAAAATTATGAAAAAATATTTTAAAAAATACATAAAAATACAACAAATGTATTAAATTCTCATTTTTTTTATATATGTTTTTGGTATTTAGTAAATTTTTAAAATGTTTTTTCACAATTTTTTTATTTTTTAAGTATATTTATGTTAGGTATGCTTAAAAAGTAGAAAAAATTACTTAAAATATTAAAAAATTTAGAAAAAATAAAAAAATACAAAAAATAAGAAAGTATTGGCAAAATGGAACCAAGCAAAGTGAATTTGTTTAAGTTTTTTGGATTAAGTTTTTTAAAAATTGAGTTTTTTTATTTTCGTATTTTTTTGTTTTTAGTAAATATTTTTAAAATTTTAAATTTTTTTTAAAATTTTTTTTAGATGCACTTTACTTAGATGTATTTAAAAAGTAAAAAAATTGTGAAAAAATATTTTAAAAAATTAAAAAATACATAAAAATACAACAAATGTATTGAATTCTCATTTCTTTTTTTTATATTTTTGGTATTTAGTAAATTTTTAAAATATTTTTTTCACAAATTTTTTATTTTTCAAGTATATTTATGTTAGTATGCTTAAAAAGTAAAAAAATTACTTAAAATATTAAAAAATTTAGAAAAAACAAAAAAATACAAAAAATAAGAAAGTATTGGCAAAATGGAACCAAGCAAAGTGAGGTAACTTGGCAAATTTCTCAAACCAGCATTTTCATATATACAATCAAGAAAAGTACATGGATCAACAAAGAAACCTAGCACAGCTCTACAACTAAAATAGTGATCCCAATTATTTATGCACTGTTGCATACATGTCATATACATATAGCTAGCTACTCATTATTCGTCTATGCCTTGCCAAAGGGATCTGCATCTACACAGCATTATAACTGCACTTTTCCTACGATATCAAGCTAAACCCTACAGGCTGTCTGATGTTTCAACTATGGGATGAACCAAATCTACGAAGTCCATTACTGCTACTCACTAGTCATCCAGATCTCACGAAGAAGCTGATACCTGACAGCATTTTGACTACCATTTTCCTTGGATAACCAGCAGGGTTTAGTTGAAATAGGTGAAGAAGCCAGAGGGCTGTCGATAATTGCAGTTAAGGGTGAATCCAATCCATCAAGCTCATCATCACTAGTGTACGATTTCCTCAGCACCAAGGACCCACTTCTTGTCAGCTGGGATTGGCTTCCAATCTCTCTGATAATACCAGCAACTGAAATTGCTGGTGGTGGTAAATAGACTATTGGAGTTGCGCTGCACGGGAAGTCCGTGACAAAACCTTCCTCAGCCTCAAAAAGGTCCTAATTCAAATTACAAAAAAAAAAAAAAAAATGATTCTCACATTAGAGTTTATAAGCTTGTGTTTACCATAAACATGAGGTAAACATAGGATAACTGAGCAAGGAAAACATAGGAAACAGAAACTTTCAGAAAGGGACAAACCTCAGAATCCAGAGCTTCAAACAAAACCTCAGGAAGTGGGTCGGGGCAAAATTCATCTGGGACAAAATTTGTGAGTACCGTCTTGATCAGTTGTGCACCAAATGTAGGACATACCTTCAAAAATAAAAACATTAGCATGGGGACAAGTACATGATAATATATATCATGCAGGTAAAAGACTGGAATGGAAGGGTTTAAAAAGTTCCAGAGTAAAACCTCTTTTCTGATTGACCTGCTTAAGAGCATGTCCTTCGGAAGCATCATGAGGTCACTCAATGCATTTAGAAGATGGAATGACTTGAAGGACGCATCATAGTCTTTGCTCTCGTCGTCGTCATCATTATCATGATCATTCTTGTCATTAAATGAGTCGTCATCATCAATACCAAACTGGTCAGTAAGCCATCTAGACCAGTTCCCAATCTGTCATCCAGAACACACAAAAGGGCTTCTTTACTCGAGAGCTATCAGAATTATGGATTACACACATTTACTAGTAAACGTACTTTGACTTGCAATATAAGATGTAATTCTCACCGCATTTTTAAGTAGTGCACCAGCCCCAAAGCTTGCTTTCCCTGCTGGAATAGGGAGAACCTTGGCATCACTAACAGGGTCAGATACAGGATCAGTTGGAATGTCATCATCAGATTCACGAAGAATAGCATTGAACATTGCCACATCCAATCTAGCCACACATTGCATCATTATCTAGTCACAAAGAGAGATGCATCCCAAATCATATTTCTATGGAGGTTAGTCGGCTACAATTTATAATCAACTATAACTACCAACATACATCTAGCCTTCCTCAGACTTCAAGTCAGGCAGCGCCACGTGGACTAGGTCACCTTTTTTAAGGTACCAACAAGTATTATAAATGGAACATTATAACTTCATGAGAAGAAAAACAAAAAATTAAAAAATAGAGGAAAAAGACTATGTTCAGCTCAAGGACTGACAAATGCACCAAACTGTTGAAAAAGAGGCAAAAGACCATGGTATCCTAAAAGATGGTAGGAATTATTTTTTGGGCAAGACAACACCGTATATTCCTACATGTATTTTCCTAAATAAAAAAATATATGAAAATGGGGTTCCAACATAGCATACACACAACATGAATCTAGCCCGTACATAGGCCCCGATTGCTAGTGTATTTGAATCATTTAGTCTATCCAAGTTTAGCACCAAGAAAAGCAAATGAAAATACCATTATTATGCATTTTCTTATTCCTTTTTTTGGCTGAACTAGAACTCCAATTTCTTTACTGTTCTTTTTAGAAGTTAATTTGCTGTTATAGTAATCACGTTAGTCAGTTATACAGCAAGAATATTTATCATGCCATGCAGAATTACATGTATAAACTAAAAGATCATTCTTTCTCTCCAAAATGCTGCTCCATCTTGATTTGAGAGCTTCTGTTATCACCCAATCAGGTAGCTCCTTCACCATATGAATTTGCATCTCTACTAATGTTATTGTAGTTTGCTTTTTAGTCCTTTGGTGTATTATTTCATATAGCTGTACAGTGGCTGCCATGGTACAATACTGGGGGTTCACGTATAAACATACTGACAAAAAGGTGGTGTTTTGAGGTGCTAGACCTCAATAGTATAAAAGGAAACTAGAGCATGTAGATTTTACCAATCTAGCCAGCACAGGTAAGCAGCCACACTCGTGTCCGCCAGCTCGAACAGGACAAAGCCGTTCACAGGCATCCTTGAAAGCCTTCTTCCAGAGCTCTAATGAGAAGTTTACCTGATCTTGATCACTTAAACTAGATGTCCTTTGATAGGTTTTACTTGCGCCAAAATCCAAACCTGTATTTATTGCTTTTGTAGCAGCAGATTGCATATGGGGTGTCAGAGTCTGAAGAAAACAGAGAACAATGTCAGATCAGCTAAATACGTAAATTCGTTTAGGGTTCAACATAGTATTTGCAATTACTATCTGGATTAGATTTGGCCCAGATCCAACCCCACCCAACGTAGACAACCTACAAGCTCTTAGATAGACTTGAACCATAGTACATGGAAAAGAAAAGAGAAGAAAACAAAACAAAACAAAAAAGAGCCATTACCCAATGTCACTCAAAGGGATCACGCCAACATGGGGTGTTGGGAGAGGTTGTCCAGTACAGATTTGATTTTTGACATTAATTTGAATACATAAAATAAAAATAACAATAAAAAAAATCCGTAATTGTAATATGACCTGCCACCAGACAGACTCGATGATCCGCGAGAAAATCCAAGCTTCAATCTTTTCCAATGCAGATATAAATGTACGAGGGTCCTCCCAGTCTTCAGAACTTTCACATAAAGCACCTTTAGTCTCCGTTCTTGAAGAGGAATCCCTCCATTTAAGTGTAGATAATTTACTGTGGCTTCGCTTCCCACCATCAGTCCTTTTAACACAAGGCCCAGCAGAAAGTGGTAATTGCTGCTCTGTGAAGGCTTGGCTTATAATGGCTCTCAACACAACAGAATTTGATAACCAAAAAGTCAACCTGTGTATGGTAATGTGGTAAAGTAAATGAGTTGTTAAGAAAAAGTCCAAAATTTTCTTAATTGGTAAGCATAGTTCAACATTGTGCTTCAAAAACATCACATGCAGTAACATTGAAAAGTACTTCAACTAACCACTATCCACTCCCCAAGTTAGGTAGGTCTCTCTAGACCTAGTGACCAGAGTTTCCATTCTATCAAACTGTGTTCATTATTGCATCTAATAGAACAAAGTTAAAAAAATTTAAATACCATTCTATAAAATAATTGGAACACTCAAGGCATATTAAACTTCCGTATGAGCAAGACGAACAAAAGGGCCAAAGAATGATTTTTGCAACCAACCAAGCAGAAGGATTGATAGATTTGGTTCCACAGCAAACTTACCTAGCAAATTCCAATTCAACATTCTATAATCTATATGATGTTTGATATATAGGATGTTTTCATAGGATCGAAAGAATGTTGTGATTTGAAAGTACCTTGGGACATCATTTCCACATGCTTTTGCAACTAGAACTAATCCTGAGACAGCACTTCTAGCAGCACTTGCTCTCCTTGTTTGGGAACTGTCTTTGCAAGCATGGAAATAGAGCCTAGAAAGTCGCCGAGCTGGAATATGGACCTTATTAATGGAACTTCCATGCTCTGGAATAACTGAGTAAAGACCAACCTCCATAGCAGCAGCTTCTCTCAACTCTCCTTCAAGTTTCTTTATTCTATGTTCCAGTTGTTGGATTTTACCATCGGAAGTGATGTTTCTTGTCTCCTTTGGATAACTTTTGGTGTCTTTTCTTTCATAGCTAACAAAGCCTAGAGGGCCATTCTGAGCATCTCCCAGCTTACCACACCTGACTGATCCATTGCTCCTACCTGAGTCCACAAGTGATCGCACAGACCTCACATGCTTCAATCTATCACTGTTTAGGATATTACTGTTTGCCCCAGAATTTTCCCCACAGAAAGAAAGTGCATCACTTCCTGAGAAGACTTGTGCTCCTTGTCCATTTTCTTGATGTTCCTTTCTGTTTATGTCCTTTGCAGGATCATTATGAATAACATCAGCACTTGCACCTTCGTGCGTTCCTTCTGTGCTAACACTCAAAACTTCATCACTATCCTCTTGAGTGACTTGAGATTCCATGCAGATTGAAAAGCCCAACTTCTCATCCACCTGTTGATCAGGGGATGCTAATCTTGCTGAAGAGCCATTTGGTTTAGATCCTTGCAGAGCATTACTGTTAATTTCACTTCCACCATTAGCATCCTTTTCATCCAGCACCAAACTGTCATAGTTTTTATTGCTCATGTTGGTGTTTACGTCTTCCTCTATAGCTTCATAAGTTATAGATGAGGATGATGATTGACCACTATGGCCAACGATTTTCTTTGGCATCGATGTCAAGCTTGTTTCATGGAAGTTGGATAATGCAGCGCGACCATTTTCTGGGCTTGCCATATCAGACGATAAGTCTGTTGATGATGAACAAGATGAAATAACCTTCAAACTTTCACGTAGTTCATTCACAGGCTTTGTGTCAAATTTAGCAAGCCCTTGCTTTGAAGTTAAGTGATGTTGGTCATTAGCCTCTCCTGGGCTATCCTTCATTGCCTGTGATCCATTCTGCAATTAGAAAACCAATTAGTCATCAAATTATGATGACACTGTGTAACTACATCTGTTGAGAAAATTTACAATCACAAACAGGTTGATGTTAGCCAAAACATGTGTGAATATCCTAATGCTAGTTAATTGCTTGCCTACTGCAAATTAGGTTACTTTATGTATCAGAACAAGATTCACAAACAGGAGCACGCCACATCAATTCAAACAATGGAATTAAAATGAAAGTTCTAAGAAAATGAAACATTGTTACCAATACAAGAATGTAAGTACATGTACCTCTTCACTACGAGGGGACAAACCCCCATTAGTCTCAAAAGCTGAAGAAGAAATAGCCAGAGACGAGTGAGAAGAAACATCATCATCAGTGATCGATGCAATCTCAGCTTCTTCAGCATATTCTTCATTCATCAAGGCGGAAACAGATTCACCACCGTTCCTCTCCATTGAAGTTTCTTTCAACAGGTTGTCCCTTGAAGAGGAGCCAGTGCGACCTTTTTCAATTGACTGGATCTTAATAAACAGAAGTGGTTGAGCTGTGTTACTTAAACTCCTCTTGGAATTCATTGGAACACTTATGCTTGTAGTCTCTTTAACAGCACCATAGTCTGCCAAGTCTACAATGGCAGTTCCCAACAATTGACCTTTCACCGTCTTATCCCTCCGAAGTTCATACAAATTGAACTCTAAGCAATTCTTTTGAAAACTATCACCATCCCAGCCTTTGGTGAAAGTTTCCCTTATCAGTGTCACGGGAAGCCTAAAAGACTCATTAAATTCAATTTTTCCATCACCAATACCAGACCCAAGCAAAGGGACAACTGGGTTAGTAGATCCAGAATTCCGCTCACCATGTTCCCATTGAATTAGAACAGAACGAAGGGTTCTCAGTGACTGAGATGGTGGCCAAGGTTTAACCTCCTGAACATGGATCAGATAATCAAGCTGAACAGTGGGGCTTTTCCTGTTTTTAGTCCTCATTCCCAGAACCATGATTACAAGAACACTGGTGCCACAGGAACGAGAACCCAAACAATTCAATCACAAAACCCCTAAAACTCACAAACAAAACGTGTAAGAAACAAGAAAGTGCAGAACAATTAAACCATCTATTTACTGTGTAGATGTTATAAAAGAATGAAAAACATGTTCTGCTTATGTTCTGCTTGGTTTATTGGAATGAGATGTAATGGAATAGAATGGTGATTCTTAGGCTTTTTTCTGGAATGGCCATTCTTTTAAAATGGTGAAAAGTAATTCTATTTGTAATGCATTAATTTGTCATTACATTTTTAGTCTAACTGAATATTTTGATGGAATAATCATTTTATTCTACTTCATTCCGGTGAACCAAACAATACCTCATAGCTTTATTTTGAGGTGAAAACAATCTGAATCGTGAAAAGCAAGCACAAAAGGAAAAATGGGTTAACGTGGCAAACACAAATGGGGTTTCAAAAGAATCACACATAGCCATAATGCTCAGTTCATTAAAAAGAGAACACAAGCGAAATTTCATTTTTAAGAAGAAAATAGAAAAAGGAAACTCAGCAGTAAATGAATTCACATGCTAAGACACAAACACTATCTCTAGGTCTTATTTGCGACCTCATAGTTTTGCAAAACGAACTATACATACATATAAATATACGCAGACATTTGAGAGAGAGAGAGAGAGAGAAATGTCGGTGAAATTCAACTGAAAGGAACTTGAATCACAAAAGAGGCTGCGGAATCTGAGAATACTAGAGCAGAGGCTGGTGGTTCTAGACATCAGATCCGAGAGAAATTCCAACACAAACGATATCAAAAGCACTCAATCACAAGCTCCAACTATCACAGATTCTCCCAATGCCGGTAAGCATCAAAACAATATACATGCATGTGCATATATACATATTCATTTATATATATACCAATGACAAATCAGGAGTAGAAGAAATTCATCAGATCTTTGCTTTGCAAAAAATTAATGGGAAATTGAACTTACACTGAACATTAGAGTCCGAAAATGGGACAAATGTGAAACTGAAACGACTCGTATCGTATACGTATACACTGAGAGGGGAGATATCTGAGTCTGTGTTGGTCTGAGAGTCAATGAAAGACGAGTGTATCTGTGTTTGCGTCTGATAGTGATTTATTTATTTATTTGTCATTAATTATAAAAGGAAAGAAGAAAAAAAATTGAAAATGGCATTTAAGCTCTTATTTTGCTAAAGAAAAAGTAATGTGGAAATTAAAAGTACGCCACAAAAAAAAATTGAGATTTTTAAGAAGTATTCACACAATTCTATCCACATTTGACAAAACATGAATCAATTTTTTTATTTAATACACACTTAATGATAATAACTTTATCTTTCATGACATATTACTATAGCTAAATTTATAAAACTCTCCAAACATATCAGCCATCGTTCAAAATATACTCATCAAAATGTTAAAATTATATTATTTTATATATCCACTATGTATTGATTTCCTTCCATTCATGCTGTCTTTTGTTCTCAATTTTAAGATCATACAAAAAAAATCTCAAGCAGAAACTGTCTACATGAGGTTAAAATTTATTTTCCTAAATTCTTCTATTTATTTGTTTTAATATATTTTCAATCATTAAATTTTATAAAAACTCTAAAATATGTAAGACATAACTTAATAATTAAAAATATATTAAAATATAAAAACAGAAAAATTTAAAGCAAAACAATTCCCAATAGCCAATTAGAACTAAGGTAGCAACTAAAAAGTAGAGAATCACGTGAGAGTATAGTAGGTTAGTGGATGTAGTGTTTGTGAAATTGGGCGTGGTTCACTTGTTGTATTCGCCGACATTATTTTGGCTTTGTTTTCACTTTCCAGTCTGAGAACCACATCACATGGAGAATGGAGAGAGAGAGTCTGAGACCCACATCACATGGAGAGAGAGAGAGAGAGAGAGAGAGAGAGTAAAAATATTTTCAAACCCAGATCATATCGCCAGCTGTGGTAAATGGAACAATGAATGTTTGGTATCATCTTCAAATTTTTTGTTCTTGTTTTTCATTTGTACTTTTTCGTGTTTTTATTTAATAGCACAATAAAAAGTTAGAAAGTACTGTTTTATTTATTTATTTATTTATGGTTTTAGGAAAAAAATTATTAACGAAATTTTTTAAAACACCAATCATTTTTAATACAATGTAAGTCATCTTTAAGAGTCTCAAAAACTCATCACTGAATAACTAATGAATTTATCATGACAACTTTACAAACAATTATTTGAACATGTAACTCTATATCAGCATTGCAACACCACCCTCAAGACTGATCTAAAAATTAAGAAATATTGTCTGCTGCAATTTCTACTTTGGAACTCAAAACTTATCAACAAGAGGTTCTGATCTATAAAAATCACCTACGTTTTAAGGGTCAATGCATACGAATTCAAATATGACATTTACAATTTTACAAAAGGAATATGAACTAAACAGCTGAATTATGGGCACTGCTATGTGGTATGAAATTATGACTGTGATGATGCGGCGTCTGATTTCTGATCGGCATCGGCTGTGGCCTGGACCTGAGCTGCATATTGCAAGTTCCACAGGACATCCTCGAAAGAGGGACGGGTTGATGATTCAGGAGATATGCATTTGTTGGTGATTGAGATCACAATTGATAAGGACTCCTGGGTTGAGGTAGTTAACACAATCGGATCCACAATCCGTCGCCGACCATCCTGGCTGCCGAAGGATGCCTGTCATTTTCAAAATCAAGTCTAAGTATAAAACCTATCATCTAAAGCAAGGTTTGTGCCCTTAAAATTTGAACAACTTTGTCATTTTATTTCCATTTTATTTTCAATTTCAATCCATTGCCCAAATGGTACAATCTTGATAGTGTTCTGAGTGGCTTGTATTCATGCCAGCTGCTTCAGGATTGCTTCACTTTCCTCTATTTTGGGATGTCTGTTCTAACTGTGGCCAACATTTGGTATGAGAACCCCCTTCAGGAGAGGTCCTTATCAGGGTTGGCATTTTGCTAGTCTCTGGGGCAGCAACTGACCTTAATGGGCTAAGTGTAAACTCAAGCTAGATGTTGTGGATGGATTTGTGGAGGCTGAGATGTTTGGGTGATGGACGTGCTTCATTTTCCTAATTTCTTACCCACCTCCCTTGTTTTGCTATTTTTTGCTTGTTTGTCTATGGGTGTGTTAATTTTGCCTAGCCTCTTGAGTTGTGAGAGATTTATCTTTTTAGGTTAGGTGTACTATTTCATCCAAGCCTGTGGCTTGGGCGTCGCTTCTTTGAAACTTTTCTTTCCCGCTAACCACTTACCTACCAACAATAAGAAATGTTTTGATAGTGTTCAGCATAATAGAATTGTTTCTTGGATTGTAGTAGCATACCATTTCATTTAATAAAAATGCTTCTCCTTTTCCGGTTACGATTGGCCCCAATAGTGATTCAAGTAGTATGAATCCAAATTTGTAAACATCATTCTCTAACCTTGTCATATGCCTGCAAAAAACAAGAAACAGGAAGAAGAAACATATGTTCAATCACATATTCAGAGCTTTCCTAGAATACCATGGTGATCATAGTCCAAAAAGGACCCAAGAATGCACTAAAATTAGAATGAGCATTATTAATGAACGTTCTCCCGAATAAGGCTGTATTTAGATTTAGATTTTGGTAGAGATTTGGAAATAGAAAGAAAAAGGCAAATGAAATGTAAACTAAATTTTTCTCCATTTTCGCATTTTCCTTTTTCTTCCCAAATTCATGATCCAAACACAGCCCAAGAGTTCATTCAAAAGGATCCTCACCATGATTTTTGGCCGTCTCCCTCTCCCTGGAAGTACAAAAAATAGTCATGTCAGAAATATCTCATAAAACCAACAAATAATTGCCAGATCATCGAAGTAACAAGGAAAGATACCTCAAGTTTTTCGAAGTCTTCGGTGATGATGGACATTCCATAGTCACTCAGCTTCGCAATCCGATACTCATCTAGCAATATATTATTTGTCTTTAATCTGTTGCTGAAAGAGACAGGTATTACCCCAGTATGCAGGAAGTCCACAGCCTTGGCAATACCAATTAAAACTGCCAATCTATCTGACCATGTAAGAACCTTCTCTGGACAACTTTCTGCACATATAATAATTCAGTTAGCCATGCAGCTTCGAATACATGAACTTACTGCGCCTAGAAGATTATAGAACTAATAGACCTGAATTATAATGTTTGTAACACATCTAAAAAAGTCCATCTAGATCAGCATACTACTTTTGACTGCCAAATGGGCATTTCATCTCCAGGTAAAAAATCGAAGTAATCAAAATACCAGAAGAAGAAGAAGAAGAAGAAGCAATCATATCCAGGTTAAATCAGTCACCATATATATCCTTTACGTATCCCGGCTATTGGGAGCCAACTAATCTGTTCTACCAATTGGATCCTAATAAGGTCATCAAGAAAACAAACATATTCATGAGGATTTGGCTAATTAAGTATGACTCTGTCTAACAGATCAAACTTTTTGATGAGTTGGTGAATAACAATTTAACATGGTATCAAAGTATGCAAGAGATCATGGTTCAAATCCCACTGTCTTACCAAAAATTATAATATTTGCATATTTTTGGCCTACTTATGGTGATGAACATGGTCACGCTAGAGCATGTTGAGGAGGGTCAACTAATTAAGCTTTTAGAAAAGTTTTGTTGTTAACAATATAACATCAATTCCACCACTGCACTTTATCTCTATGAACATACTCGTAAATTATGTAAATATGCATGTTTGTACTTATGTATGAGAACTAGTTGTAGTACAACTTTATTGTGTTACACTGACCTGAGAGATGAGAACGAAAATCCCCATTGGGTACATATTCGTATACAAGGAAGACTCTGTCAACAGTAGAATCATCCTGTCCCCCACCATCAATGCAATGACCCAAGAGACCAACCAGATGTGGGTGTCGAAGCTTTGAAAGCAAATCCAACCGAAGTTTAAGGTTCCGAATTGAATCCTTTCTGAACAGAGCCAGAGATCGTATGGTGACATAAGTGCCATTCTCCAACCTTCCTTTATAAATCTGAGAAAAATGAAATAACATGTTAAGACGGTGCTTGGGCAGTATCGATTTTTGTGAAACTAACAATAAACACAACGGATTTTAATTCCCCAAACCATCATATTGGCTTGCAGTTTTGGAGTTACCAAGAATGCTTTTCACATATGGAAATAATTATGCCCCTAGGAGATAACTCAGATTTATCCATAAATTGGGAGAAGAAGACCCATCCGACTTATGTAGGAGCAAAAATTATAGTTGTGTCAGCATAGACAAGCAACAACCACTATCTAACAATGAAGAACCACATAGTGGGTTCATAAGAACATATATTGGTCATAGAATTGCACAATTCCACACTTTTTTTTTGAATCTTCTCAACGTCAATATTGCACTCATGGTGCATTTAGGCTATGTTTTTTGATAAATAATAAAATTTATCGAAAAAGTATCAAAAGGATGCAAAGAATACAAGAGCACCAAAAGAGCAAAACAAAACCCGCCTAACCAACTACATCATCCAAAAAATCTAAGAAAGAAAACAAATCCGGATCAACTTTACACTCCAACCAACTATACAAGGTAACTAAGAACGTTGAGCCCGAAAAAGCCGCTAATAAAAACCCACAATGCCTCCCCGAATGTCCTTCTCAGTAATCAAATCTCTCCAATCCACCCACATTCGCACAATCTGGTTGACCCTTCTATGGCCATTTTCCATCTTGTAAAAAAACTAGGTATTCCAGTCCCCCTCTTTCAATCATAAACATTGAGATTTTTGTCTAAAACATATCTCTTCCATACGAGCCAAACGAACATAATCCTACCTGGCCGCCTCCCTTCTAGCCACATCTGCCTCTAGAAGCCTGCTAGAAACCTCCTGTACATCTAAGGACTGAAGGATGGCCACTACTTCAGCTTTCTCAACCTCCACCAGGCCAAAAACCTCCTTATTCCACTGTTTCAAATCCCCTTTGAGTAATTTTAATTTCTGAGCCAACATGCAGCTAGGAGTTCCGCTAACCATGTAATTGCTCCACCACCCACAAACCTTCTCTAAAAAATCCTCCAATTGCAACCACATATTTTCAAATCGAAAAGGCATCGGCTCACTACAAAACCCTCCATTGTCAAGCATAATAGGCCAATGATCTGACACTGGTTGAGGTAATCGACTCTGAACCACCTCTGTAAAATGCTCCTCCCAACTACTAGTAACTAGAAATCTATCAATCCAGGACATCTGTTGGCCATTAGACCAAGTGAAACTCCCCCCATGAAGAGGCAAATCAACCAGGTTCATCGCATCAATAAATTCACAAAACACTCGCACCGACCCCTTCGCCCTACTACTCCCCATCTTCTTTGTCAGCCATCAAACCATGTTAAAACCACCCCCCACACACCACGACTATGACCATCGATGCGCAATATCCACCAACTCGCCCAAAAATGCACTCCTCTCTGAACTTCAGACCGGCCCATACAACCCAGAAAACACCCACCTAAAATTGTCCGCCACATATCAAAATAGACAAGACATCGAAAAACCTCTTAACTCCCCATCCTCCTTCACCACCACTCTCTTATCCCAACAGAGTAGAACCCATCCTGCCGTACCCATAGCTGGTAAGTATGTCCATTCCACAAACCTACTACCCCAAACCTCTCTCACCACATCTCCACCCAACACCTCCATTTTCGTTTCCTGCAAATACACCACATCCGCTCTCACACTTCGAAGCACTGATCTGACTACTAGGCGTTTATCCCTCTCATTCAAGCCACGCACATTCCACTATTACACTTTTAACTTCAATTTAATAACAGATGACTTCCTCACTCTCTTCTTGGGCCCCGTCTAGCCGTCTCCCCTCCATGATCATAATTAACCGAGCACTCCAAATTTTTGAGCTCCTGCACCCCTTTATGTTGCACCACTGCTGAAGTACCATCCTCCTTAGTTAGAGTCCCCCTCCTCCATGAGGTTTCCACTGCTGTGAATAAGTGCAAAGCCTCTGTTTCTTGGCCTTCAAAAGATACACTAAGCAATCTACTAACCTCGCTAATCTTGCTGAGCACCCACTCTAAAACAGCTTCTACCGAAGGAGCCTCAAACCCATTCAACTCATCCTTATGGTCGATCCCACCTTGAGGCAAATCAGGAGAGTCCTCCCCAAGGTCAGCAATGATCGAACTGGCAAGAGGGTGGACCACAAGAGACAACTCCCTCCCGATATGCCCAGGAGCTGGTTTGATTCTCTCCACCGTTTCACTCACATCATTCATTGCGTCTTTTTGCACCCAGGTCTGTCCCAAGTCCACGTCTGTATCAAATGACTGGCTCAAAGCCTCATCGTCCTCCAACACATACTACGACCCACCTAACTCTGCCTTGCGACTGGGTTCAGAAGTTGACGGTGCATCCCTCCTCGCTACCTCTGTAGGACCTGAAGTCAAGATCCGACCCAACTGATTTGAATCCATATCCCGACACAGATTGTTAAACACTTGGGCCATTGGGGTGATTGACCCAGATCGGCTTTCGACCCTCTTCACAAAACGGCCCAACTCCTCCAAGCCCAATCCTTGAGCCCCATCATCACTTTGGCCCACCCCATCTTTCTTTTGCAACAAGTTCAAACCCCCCACCTTAGGCCCTTTAGAAACTAGCCCAATGTCTCTGTTATAATCTCCCCTCTTACGGCCCAAAGAAGGACCAACCCACAGTTGGGCCTTTTAATGTTGGGCCCACTGCCCCATTCCCTTTTAGTTGCCATGCCTTCCGTGGTTCAACCCATCTCTCTGAAATCTGCAACTTCTTCTTTCCCAAATCACGGTGGCCATCACGTAAATCGTATCGCACCAGATTTCGATTTTCCTGTGCCAGCTCACGACTCACACCCTGCTCTTGCGTGTAACAATTCTCCACCACCGGTCCATCCTCCAACCAAATTGGAAATGTGTATCTCCAAAAGCCCCAACGAATGGTGATTCTTGCCAGAGCACCCCTAACTGAGCCATGAACCTTGATTCGAACACAGCCTAGAGGTCCCTTCATCGTCGTAGCATTATCAACCTCTAGGAAACCCCCATAGCGATCACTAATTGCACGAAACACCTGCTCTCCACGAAGATACAACGGGAGCCCTAGCACCTCCACCAAAAAACTCTGTTTATGTGATTGAGTGCTTCCCCTGGCACAAAACGCCTCCGGTAACTACCAGTCAAGGCTCAGCCATCAACCTTCAACCATCCATTTGCCTTCCAGAATTCTGAAAGCATCTGCCTTAGATGGAAAAGCAAGCAACACATATTATCCGCCGATTGCCTTCACCTCCACGCCTCCGCTGATCTTCGACATTCGCTTTACCCATGCCGATAGGTAAGAAAGCACCACCCCCTGCTCCCTCACTGGCCCCACTCTCCCCACCAAACACGACTACAAAAAGGAGATCCAATCGGCACCAGACCCTGTCGCACCACCACATCATCCTCCCCAACCTCTGGGACGACTACTGCCTTCCTAATCGGCCATGGATTGCCTCTCACCCCTTGTTGTTCCTTCCCTTTTAAGATCCAGCCATTCCCCACCGAAAAACCCTCCAAAACTAGAGCAGCACCTTCCCATCCATCCCTGAACAATGATTGTGGGAGAAAAATTTGACTGCGACAATGGCCCATGTGAACCACAATCTGAACTGCTGCCCCTATCTCCTTCGATAACAACCAACACGCCACACTACGCCTTCCCCTGGAGACCCGACCCAAAAACATTCCAACAGTGTTCACCTTGGATGTCTTTCGCATTTGGTCCGCAACCCATTTTATCTCTGCACCAAACAACTTGATGGCTCTGCGAATCCCTTGGCCGCGTTCAACAATATCTACTCGTCGCCAACCTATCGCATCAGCTAGCCCTTCTTTGAACTCAAAAGAACGGTCTCCTAAAAAAATCAGTCTCCGACGAAGCCTCTCCAGCTCCGCTAAAGACATACCTAAAAAAGAACTGCGCTAGATATGCAGAACAATATTTCCTTTTACACTAGTCATTTTAAAAAACAAAACAAAATTTCAGACTCACCATTTAGGCTATGTTTGGATTATGGATTTGGATAGAGATTTGCAAAGGGAAAGGAAATTTCCCTTGTCTATTCATTGCCCTTTCCAAATCTCTACCTACCTAAATCAATGATCCAAACACAACCTAAGAATCCATTGATTAAGAATTATGCTAAAATTCCAGTTCCATAGGGTATTGAAGAGGTACCTTCCCTAGAGAACCTTTACCCAAAAACGTTGACTTCTCAAATTTGTCTGTGGCTTCTTCTAACTCTTCTAGTGTAAATGATCTGTATAATGGAGCACCCTGTGTTCCTAGTTTCGCTGCTTGAGAAATGAACCCTGAAGCAAATAAAAAATGCTAATTCAGCTTTTTGGACAAGTAATATGAACTCATCTCTATTTAGCACGAAAATGTCTGGCATTTCAAAAAATGGTCAAAAAAGTAGATTTTACATAATATATATAGAGCTTACTGGCATTTGCAAGGAGTTCGGAGGATATCCCTCCTGGTGTTGTTTCGTGTACAATCACCTTTGGCATTGTATGCTGCCCCAATGTCCCTCTCGAATGGTATCTTCTATACAGAATGAGAAGCCCAAGAACCAACAGTACCGTAACAATTATTGCTCCTCCAATTACACCGATTAACACCCAAATTTCTTTCCCCTCGGAATTTTTCATCTCCATATAAGCTTTTTTGCAGTACGATTCTGGATGCTGATGTTGAATATCAACAGACAAGCAATTCCCTCCAAACTTAACAACTCTATCATTTGAAGTAGTCCCCAAGCAAGAAGGAAGTGAACCAATCAACCTGTTGGCAGAAATATCAACAAACCCAAGCTCTCCCCCACAATTCAGATGGTTGGGAAGTTCCCCAGTCAGTATATTGGATGCTAAATTCAAATAACTAATGTTAGGCAAAGAGAACAATGAGGAAGGTGGTGTTCCGCTTAAAGTATTGAACGACAGATCAAGGTGTTGAAGCTGATTTAGTTGGCCAAATTGTTCACAAATCTTACCAGAGAATGAGTTATTGCTCAGCAGAACTGTGGCTAAGCTTTTGGGCATGAGAGGTAGTTCAGAATCCAAATGGTTGTCTCTTAAATCCAATAAATGTAGACTAGTTAAGGTACTCAAGTCAGGCAATTTACCAGAAAGCCTATTGTGGGAGATAGCAATATCAGTGAGAGTCTTAATTCTGCATATGGAAGAAGGAAATGGACCCTTCAACTGATTGTTCTTCAAGCTCAACATTGTTAGGTTTGATAATGAATCCAACCAATTGGGGACAGTATCATTTAAGAAATTGCTATCTAATGTCAAACTTTGAAGATTTACCAATCTAGCTAACTGAGGTGGAATAGAACCAAACATAAAATTCGAACTCATGTCCAAAAGTTCAAGCGAAGATAACCGATGAATTTTATCAGGAAGTGGTCCCCAAATACCCAAAGACAATAAGCTAAGAACCCTTAAACTAGTTAACCTTGTCAATGTGGTCACAAATGAATCAATAGAGAAAGTCTGAGATAATGTCTGGTTGGGAATTGCAAATCCATTGAATTCACTAACCTTGGCAAGCTTATCTCCCATAATTTTGAGTTCAGTGATAGAAATGTCCTGGCATGTGATGCTCATATGTGGGGTTGAAGACAAGTTACAGAAATCTCCAGTGTAATTTTCCCAATTTACCAAAGCACTAGGGTACTCCAATTGCTTCCTTATCTGAAGAAGAACTTGAGTTTGAGAGGTTTGTTGTTGATGGGTACTGGAAACAAAGAAAACCCATGCAAGAAACACTACACCAAACCAGTATAGATGCCCCATTAAACAAGTTCCAACTTCAGAATTTTAGAATTTTTTTGACAATGCTGAAAGAACCCTGGAAAGATAGCAACTCTGTTGAGTTCCTACGAGAAAGAAACAGAGTCAGGAGAAATTCAAACCCATGAGAGATTTCACTTTGAAATTGTGGAATTTTTAAAGAATTGGGACAAACCCAAGAAAGAATTATCTGGGATTATAACTTTCAAGTCCTACCTAAGACGTCATTTGCAAACTTTCCAATTTAAAGAAACCCATGAAGCATTTAAAGCAGAGATCTGAGAACCCAAGAAAAGGGAAGAAAATCCACATGGGAAGGAAGCTATGAGATTTCAACATTTTCTCGGAAAACATTGAACATTAAAAACAACAAGGTCAAAACCCCCCATTAAAAAAAGAGACATAAACAACCTATCTATGTTTCTCAAACAGGGAATGTCTAGTCCAAGATTTTCCAGATTTTCCGGGAAAATAAAGAAAAACCCACGAAGGATAATTGAAAGAAAGAAAATATATATACGGTTGGAAAGAAAGAAGAATGATATAAGAGTTGAAGAAGAGTTTGTACTAGCAGTCTTGGTTAAAAGAAGTGAACCATAAATGGGGGGTGGTTGAAAAACAGTAACGGACACTGATAAGAGGCATGGCATTTACTGCGAAAATTGAAGTTCGAGGTACTCTGACATTAATGGGGTCGGTTCCTCAGAGTCGCACACAAAGGACAAAGAAACAGTATTGTGTCCCACGTATTTGGGGAGAGATTTTGAAAAAGAAAGGAAAAAAGTATGTGAAATTAAGTGAAATTTAGATATATTTTATTCAGATTTTACATATTTTTTTCATTTTCTTTTTCAAATTCCTCATCAAATCCCCCAACCAAACAGAGCTAAAGAAGAAGATGAAGCGAAAAATGGAAGCAACTGTGTATAGCGCTAGAGCGAGGCTCTGTTTGGCAAGGAGGTTTGGGGTTATTTTAGTCACAAAAAATAAAACAGGCTATTTTAGTCATAACAAACAAAATATCACATCCAACTCATAATTATTACACTTTTCTTTCACAAAAAAAACTAAAAAAAATCAAAAAGTCAAAAAGTCCTTCCCAAATCAAACTTTTTAGTCCATGCTAAAATAACCAAAAAAATCAAAAAGGCAACCCACTTTCCAAACGGAGGCCGAGTATGGTACGAATTGGATGGGATTAGGATAAAATCAGAATTAATTTGTTATTTATGGTTTTTTAAAAATTAGAATCAATTCAATCCGTTTAAATCGTGAAATCAATCTGAATCAATCTATTTAAATATAAATTGGATTGATTTAGGATCATGGATTCACATAATTAAATAATAAAAAATATATATAACACTTTAATTTTATAAAAATATAAACATGGTACCATATTAGTTTCACAATAACAACATGTCTTTCCATAATAATAACATACTTTTTACAATTCAAACAACCATAAGAAAACTGATTCCACCATACATATTTAGACCATTACAAATTAAAATTAAAAACTAACAAACAAAACTAATAAAAGAAGATACTATGTAGGTTTAGGTTTGGGCTTAAGTGTAGGATTCAATTCGGAATCAATCTGTAGACTACGAATTTTTAATTTTTCAATCCAGAACCAAACCACGAATTCAAAAAATCAATCTAAATTTATCAAATTAAACTAAACTGGATCGAATTACGAATTTCATAAATTCCTTACCCAGTCCTACGTAGGGCTGCAAATAAGTTGGGTTGGGCAACACTTCCATTCGAATTTGATTAGTTAAATTTTCTTTACGTTGGAATTTGATTTGTTGTTAAATTTTCATAAAGGTTGGTTTGGGAAGTGGTTTGGCTTTTTAACTTTTTGACTATTTTATTCTGGGCTAAAAAGCTTGGTTTGAGAAGGAATTTTTGACTTTTTGACTTTTTTGACTTTTTTTGTGAGAGAATAGTGTAATAATTATGGATTGGATGTGATGTTTTGTTTGTTGTGGCTAAAATAACCTATTTTGCTATTTGTATACGGTCCGGATCGGTTCCAATCCGGAACCGTGAGGTTCAATCCGGAACCAATCCGTGGACTACGGATTTTTAATTCTTCAATCCGAAACCGAACCACGGATTCGAAAAACCAATCCAAATCTATCGAATTGGACTGGACTGGATCGGATTACGAATTTTACGAATTTCTTGCTCAGCCCTAAGTCCTACGTAGGGCTGCAAATAAGTTGGGTTAGGCAACACTTCCATTCGAATTTGATTAGTTAAATTTTCTTTACGTTGGAATTTGATTTGTTGTTAAATTTTCATAAGGGTTGGTTTGGGAAGTGAGTTGGCTTTTTAACTTTTTGACTATTTTATTCTGGGCTAAAAAGCTTGGTTTGAGAAGGAATTTTTGACCTTTTGACTTTTTTGACTTTTTTTGTGAGAGAAGAGTGTAATGATTATGGGTTGGATGTGATGTTTTGTTTGTTGTGGCTAAAATAACCTATTTTATTTTTTGTGGCTAAAATAGCCAATAAAGCCCACAAAATCTCTTCCCAAACGGTGCCTCTAAACATTCTAAACCTCCGTTCTTTAGTTCAGCTCGTTAATTGATTTTTTTAATATTTATTATTTATATATTAAATAATATAAAAATATGTATAAAAAATAAAACAAATATATTATTTATATATTTTAAAAATATAAATATAAATAATAATTAACTATAAATAATATATTTATATAATAGTGGTAATATATATTATTTTGATAAAATATTAATTTTTTAAATTATTTACATATATATACAATATATATATATATGTGTGTGTATAATTACATAATCAAAATTTTAATTGTAATTTTAATTTCATACGTAAGTATGAATTTCTAAATTTTTGGGCCCGTTAAGGCTCGTGAACAGATTTGAACTCGAGTCAAGTCTAAGCCAACTCGGCTCGAGCTCGGTTCGTTAAATTTTTATTAAGCTCGAACTCGAGTTCGTTAAAATCATAATAAACAAGTCCAAACATACTAAAATTCGGCTCATTTGTAGCCCTAATTGTGTACGAGTATGAGTGACTAGATAGAGATGAGCCTGGATTTATTTCTTTTTATTTTTATTTATAGAAATTCTTGGCACCTGACAAAGGGGGTGTTTGGTGTGAATTATAAGGGGTGATTATAATTTTTTCTAATTTGAGAATTTGTACTAGAGTATTTGGTGCAACTTCTACTTATAGTTTTTAGACAGAAATAACTTAAATAAGCTGAAAAAGTTGATTATTTAGAAGCTGGAGAATGGGTATTTTTGATTTCTGTTTTCTAATTATCAACTTTTAACTTACAATAAGTTACATCAAATCGCACAAAAGAAATCCTAATACACATTATTTGTTTGGTTTAGTCTTTAACATTCACTAAATTTGTTTAGTTTAAATTCGTCTGAATAAATCTCTTTTCAAGAAGAATTCCATCTATCTTCTCGAGAAAATATTCATTTTGATGAATTTAAACTAAACAAATTCAATAGATGAATCATTAATCTTTAGTCTTTAGGTATAAATTTTTGAATAAAAGATAAATATTAAGACATAAATTTATGAACAAAAATAAATTATTTAAATATATATTTCGTTAAATTGTTTATCTAAATAATTTTTTTTTGTTCATAAATTTATATTTAAATATTTAATGTTTGCTCACAAATTTATATCTAAATTATATAAATGATGTATATTGAAATGTTTTGTGATGTATAAACAAAAAAAAAAAAAGATATGTAAGTCTACTTTTTAGACCCATTTTATAAATTTACCGTGAATAAAATAATTAATTAATAATTAAAGAATAAATGAAAGATATTTAGTTTAGATATTTTAATAGAATAAATAACACGTCATTAAATTTAAAATATATATATATATATATATATATAATTTTTTAACTTAATTAGTGATACTTTTAAAAAATGATTACAATTTCATGTTAAAAATTATAATTTTAATAATTAACAGGGTAAAATCTATTTTACCTTATTGTAGTATTGTCTTGGAGTATTTAACCTCCCTTACATTTGAAAATAGCTAAAACCTCTCTTACATTTTAGACTAAACAGTAATACTAACGTTGTTAATAATAAATGTAAAATGATGTTAATGCCCATTTACCTTCTTTATTTTCATTCTCTCTGCTATTACAATTCCGGTTTTGACCCGTTATCTATTGTATTCTAGATTCGAGTTGGTATGATTTAGAATAGTTATTCATATCTTGCTTCCCTTATTTCTCCTATATTTTGGTTATTGGGTTGTAGTTGTACGTTCGAAACAGGTTGGTTGCGTGTTTTTTTCAAACCTTTGTTGTCCAGATTTTGGTTGCTCTGTTCCAGCGAGAATTCTTGCGCTCGAGCGGGCTTCACAAATTTTGCTCCTCCGCTCGAGAGGCCATTCTTGCACTCGAGTGGGAGTCATCAACTTTAATTATTTTTGCAGTTCTGTAAATACTAAGAGAGTGCATTGGACACTCGAGCATCCATTTTCACGCTCGAGCAGGGTCCTTTATCTGCAAAACTTTTGGAAATGTGTATTCTACGCTCGAGTTTCGCTTCTTGCACTCGAGCGGACGTTTGTGTTTGACACTCGAGCATCACTTTCCACGCTCGAGCGGACTGCGTGTATATCAGTACGTAAAGATAACATTTTGAATCACTTTTTTTTCTCTCTCTCTCTCTAAAACTTTCCAAAAACCTAGATCTATACATTCTCTCTCTAAAACTCACATTCTCTCTAAGATTTCATCTAGATCCGTT